AACTTAATGCTTTATAATATGTCTGAATGCTGTGACGTATGAATATCGTCCGGGTACTTTGGGACCCATAATAGCTTTATCACTCGTGTTCAGACTTCGGCCTGACTTATTAATGTTAATCATGTTATTTGTTCTGATGAATGGAGTTGACCGTGTGGATAGTCAACTTTTTGCAATGGCTATATAAATGGAGACCAGGATGGCCTAATCGGGTAATATGGTACCCAATTTTCGTGTTTTGCGTGTAATATGACGCATTTTAATAAATTCGCGTCTGTAATGATGGCTTTGTATGAGTATTTGGGCCCCATGATATTGTTATGGAATTCGCGATTTTGACGTCGTATTGAGATGACACAATTTTTTATTTCTCGTATCAATGTGGACCTGGTCGGATAATTCGTTATCCGGTCTTCGGTCTGATTTTTATTGAATTATTGCATAATCGGGTAGTGCTCCCGACGTTTCACATGATTTTAAGAAAGGCGTTAGCCTCGCCAAACCAACTTCAGGGTTTGGAAAAGATTGGGCGTATAGCCTTGCCAAACCAATTTCAAGGTTTGGAAAAGAAGTATTAATGTCAAGATGTATGTATGACGCGCGTATATGATGAATGTATGAATGTATGTATGAATGCGCGAATATATAATGAGCACGTGCGGGAAATAATTATTGTACGATAAATGATGTTACCTTGATGTTTTGTCGAGTCTGACTGTTTTGCCGGTAGGTGTTGTGCCTTGCCGGAATATTAATTGTACCAAATCAACTTCAGGATTTGGCGAAAGATCATTATTGATGTCGTTATTATTGTAAGCCCGCTAAACCAACTTCAGGATTTAGCCACGGGGGGCATCAGCCTCCCCAAGCCATCTTCAGGGCTTGGAAGTATCCGGTTGTGTCGCGTTTGGCCAGGTCATACCAACTTCAGGGTATGAAACACGTTTAGCCTTAGCAACGAGGACCGATTTATTGAGATCCATTAATTGCATTAATTGTGTTTCCCCATGGTAGGTTCTGTGCCTTTCCTCTTGCGGGGAAGACACACATTTTATGCACCGAACTGTTTTTCGAGATTCGGCTCTTTTTAAATGTAGGAAATGAAAGATACCTCAGCGAGATGTTATAAAGACATAAGCTCGGCTGGAGTCGAGGCTCAACGACGAGCGAATAAAGAGACGTCGGCTCTGCCGGAGTCGAGGCTCAACGGCGAGCGGATATAAAAACGTCGGCTCAGCCGGAGTCGAGGCTCAACGGCGAGCGGATATAGAGACGTCGGATCAGTCGGAGTCGAGGCTCAACGGCGAGCGGATATGGAGACGTCGGCTCAGCCGGAGTCGA